CATAAGGGGAGAGACGCGATCTTTCACGCTTACAAGCTTTTCCCGAGTTTTTCTTGGGCTTTGTAGGCCGTCTTTATATCAAAGCGGCTCAGAAGCTTGCCTATCTTATCCGTGACACCGCGTATATATGGCAGAGTGGCTATTTTTTCTTGGGATCGTCTTCATATGTGGTGATATCAGCAGTTTTGACAGAGGTCGTAGCCTGCCGTACCGCTTGGTTGGCAGCGTTAGCGCTGTATCCGTTGGCCTGAAACTTAATTAAGTTCACAATGGAGGTGAAAAATTAGGGAAAATTGCCTTTCCTCGACGTGCTGGTGAGTCGAAAAGTGAACGGCAGACTAGGACACAGTGTTTACCGGGAACCCACCCACACAAACCGTTACCTACACGCTGGCTCTCACCATCACCCAGCCACTAAGCGGGGGGTGGGGGGTGAAAACGCTGGCCATCAGAGCAACTAGAGTGTGTAATAAAGAATCGTTGGACTCTGAAATGGAGCTCCTAAAGACTACATTTCGAGCCGTCGTGATTTTCTTCGACAGCTGTGTTGGCTATAGTTGGAATAGCTCAGCTTCCACTTCAGACACACTGACGGACTGACTGATTACATACACTGACTCGCGGCTGCATACTTCCGACTGACATACTGACACTGACTCGCGGCCTCCGGCAGCGGCGCATTTATACCTGGCCGGCGCTCGTCTCGACACACTCGACACTTACTCCACCTTTCCACGCGACTCGCGAATAACCCGGAACCGTCCAGTTCGGGGGGAAGGGGGGGGCGCCGGCAGATGACGCAATCCGCGCAGCGAATCCGGGTAGATCATGCAATATTCGTTACACTGTTATAGAGGAGTTTTAGCCCCTCTCCTGCCTTAATCATATACGGGACCCTATCCGATATGAACAAAAATACATTTTCATATCAAATTCCTTCAGGCCACAAGAACATAACTGCATTGTTGAACACTCGCTACTGTTGTATGATTTCTCGCTGCTATTTCTTCAATCACTATGAGATATTCCTTTGAAATATCATTTGGAGCGAGCGAACCAACAATTACATTACACACAGATCGTTTTCGTGCATCAGGCGTTTCGTTCAAAGTAACTTAGATTTATTTATTTACGTTAAAAACAGTTAAAAACTGTGTGACATGCTATGTGGAGTAGATTTGAAGTTACGTTTATGTCCAGAAGCAAAACAAGGGACCATCTCAGCATTTGCTCGAGGTTCAGATTAAATTATCTTAAACATAATCACGAATTTCTAGTACAGTTTGTACATAAATTAATGGAACATAATGTATGCAAAGAGTGAACTCATGTGGAATAGTTTGTTTCGTATATGATTCTAAGAACGCATGTAATTTAGAATGTTCAAACATATATAGTGGAATGTCGGAATGTCTTGACAACTGGGGGCCCGAAGTTGATCTAGATGCTTCATTTGAAGTATTTACTTTCAGCATCAACTATTTATCACTTTTTTAATGTAATGAAATGTTAATGACTTGTATACAAGTATACGCACTTACATGTTTTGCACGCATAACACATAACACGATTCTGTCAGTAGTTAGCATACATTCATTCTCACGCACATACAAACTGAGTACAAAAGGGGAGTTTGATATACACTGCATATATGCTTACCTGAATTGAGGATTGT